TATATATATAGATATATATAGATATATATATATATATATCTCAAATCAAGATAAAATTGCTTGCCATACTTTCATTGACATTGGTGGAATCTGCACGGTCCTTTCCATATCATCAACGTTACTGATACAGTTTTGACTTTTCCCACAATCCAGCTTCACTACAGCACGGCTATTGGTCTACAAAGAGGATAGTTTCAAATTACACGTTTAAAATCTTATTATAATAGTTTACAGAAGTTTTCTGTCTCAATTCTTAACTATTTGAGTGTATTCTTTTGCACAGCAAGTTTTTCAGTGCTAAAGCGGATGCAGGATGTGGCGGTTGGGGGTGCGTGTGAGTCCACACCACCTCAGCCCCTATCATCGTTGGGGCTGAGGGTACAAAATCTTCAGTACGTGGACCTCTAGGTGCCTGGAAATTGCACTATCATACCTTAAAAATGTTTTACATTACAACAATTATTTTTCTTAATACAATTTAGGAGGTCACGATCGCACCATCTGCATCTCCCTGCATCTGCTCCAGCAGTGGGTGGGCAGGTATTGGGATGGGAATGGAGGGAAGTAAATGTTCTCCTGTAATATGCCACTAACATTTAAATATATCACTATTAGCTTATACAATTAATGGATGCAATTTTAAATCAATTGAAAAAATAAATATACCAATACATCTATCTATTAATCAATCAATTAATAGCACCTTTTCCACTAATTAAAGTGCTAAATACAAAAAAAACAAAACAGTACCATATTTTCAACTGAATTTACAATACTGTACTGTCACCATTATCAATATTACAGTTATTGCTATAACAATTGTGAGCTGTTGCGACAAAATGAGTCTTGTGGTACACCAGGTGAATTTGATATATTCAAGAAAATATATCAGAAGTGATATTTTGAAAAAAAAATAGAGTTTCGATTTTTATGGTAAGTTTAATATGTATATTTCACAGCAGAAAAAGTTTGGAGATGATTTTCCTTATGTAATCATGTTCTTGAAGCACATTTTGTAAAGTTTTTTTTTCAGAATTGATAGGAAAACCAACACAAAATTCATCAATTGTTTATCTTTAGAGGTGATCTTCTCTTAAGTATGTTTTACAAACATAATTCAAAGACTAAAATAAGGCTTATATAGTCATTTACTGTATCTAAATATATCAATAAATCGTTTTTTATTTTTCGTACCAAAAGACTCATTTTGTCTCGACTTTACCTGATTATCTATAACAACTGTTACACGGCTGTCTCCTGTGTAATACAAAGCATTTAAGTCCTTGCTCAATTTATTTATCTGTATATCCTCGGTGGCCTTCACAGATGCACAAACAGCCTTCTCTAAAGCACGCCCTCCCGATTGAAGCTGAAGCACCTTCAATCGCCCCCGGCATTTTTCAGAGTAGATGTCAACTCTAAAGGGGCTAGCCTAAAAGAAACCAAAACTAAACATGGTGAAAAGATTAAAAGGAAACCACAAATATAAAATAAAATAAAATAAACACAATATAATGTAGATCCCCATTCCGCAACCTTTTTAGCCCACGACCCAAATATGTCAAGCACTCAGAAGCGACCCATCGAACCCGACGTCAATAAAACATCCGTCTTCCCAATTAATTGTTTTGTGAATCGATTAAAAGATATTATCTGTGATAACGCACGCATAACAAAAGTAAACTGACGCACTTGTCACACTTTCGTTTACTGTAATTTAATTTTGTCTTTGTTCGTATATTAAGTAAAGTTTTCACGATCTGAAGAGATTATGCAACGACCCATCAAATTTATTTTCGAGACCCAATCATCGGGTCGCGAACCATAGGTTGCGGAACAGTGCTGTAGATCACTGAAATTATGGGGAGTCAAGAGAGGGACATACATATGCAAAGAGTTCATCTACCTCTGTCTCAATTCTTATTTTCCACTCAAAATTTTAAAGTATACCTCATCAAGTCTCAAGTCATCGGCAAATCCCATGGAATTGAGAGTGACCCAGAGGTCTTCTGTGTCTCCTTCCTCATCGTTTGCTTCCATCTGGTTTAGCTCCATGAAACCTTTCTTTGTAATTTCACCTTTTTTCAATTCAAAATTTTCTAAAAGCATAAAACAACAAACATCAATTATAAAATATATTTCTTTTGGGCCATTAGAGCTGGAAAAGTAGCTAGAAAGAAAATTCCACAAAGCAAAAAATGAAATATAATTTATTATTGATGATTTGATTAAAAGTTCTTCTTTATTTAGAGGTGGCCCTTTCTACAGACTCTCTGCTGGCGCCACCACTGTTAATATCCAGTTCACCTCTGCTAATGTCATCGTCACTTATTCCATAGCCAAGGTACTGTAAGTGTTGGATTGAGTGTAATGAATTTCTTTCCAAAACAAAGTTACTGTAATTGCGATTTAGATTCCTATTCATGGAACTACATAAAATAATTCTACAGTAATTGCTTTTATGAGCTTTTAAGGTTGCCGCTATACTTATCTCATGGCCAATACAAGTGGTAAATTGATTGTAATTAAATTCTATAATTGCTACTTCTTCCTACTTTTTGGACAAAAGCTTCAGTTTCAGTTTTATTGTTTCATACAATGAACATAATAAAATGAACAAGATATATAAGAACATATTATAATAATTCAATGGTTTTGATTCATTAACTTAAGATAACAATAATATGATTAAAATAGAATTTCATAGTATGGATAACAATATAAATTTAAATACTGTTTAATAGATATACAGTGAATATTCATTGTGTGTGGAGGAAACAATAAGCCAGGAGGCTTTAAGTCTGATCCTCCAAATAAACATGTACTGAATTAGTAAATGGCTAGTGATAAAAAAAAAAGTAATAAGGACACAAACAGGAAAAAAATAAAATGAAAGTAGATAATAAAGGTAGAAAAATGTTGCTGGGTGTAACAAGTAAAAATTGAGTAATAATCAGGAAGAAAAGAATAAAATAAAATGAAATGAGATGAAGAGGATTGTATTTTCAATATTTTTCCACAATTTAATTTAATTGAGGAAAATGAATAACTAAGATGCATACTTATCTATTAGGGATTGTTTATATTTTCTTTTAAGAGATTTTAATTTTAAAAGGTAAATTGTTCCATATTTATGGCCCATTATAAATAAAAGATGTCCTCCTTAGTAAAGTAGTGTGGCTTTCATAAATAAAATTTTTGACAGTTGAAGACCTGGTATCATATGAATGGTATTGTCAGAAGTTAGTGAAAAATGTACGAAAATGAGAGGGGAGTTGATTGTTATTTAATCGAAACATTAACAAGGCTGTTTGAAGCTTGTTAAGATCGAAGATATTCAAAGTATTAAGAGAATAAAATAAATGTTTGTAGTGAGACCTGGGGGGTGCCCCTGTGCATATTCTGAGCACATTCTTTTGTAATCGAAATAAACAATGAATTTTAGTTGTTTCAGAGCTTGCCCAGGGGCACAATTGTGAAAATTTACCAGTGGTTGTAGCCCAGGCAATGTTGCAAGTTAATATAAGGTAAAATAAGTGTATTATATAACAAAATATTGGATGGAAGCGTGTATTTTAATTTAGATAAAACTCCAACGTTTCTAGAAACTATTTTTGTGACATTGGCAATATGACATTTCCAACTGAGTTCACAGTCAATTATGACTCCCAGAATCTGGAAACTCTTTTAATTGGATGGCCATCAATAAGGATATAATTTGGCAATTCTTTGTTGCATTTCTTACTATGATTGAAATAAATTAAATTAGTTTTGGATATATTAAGAGATAATTTATTGAGTTTGAACCATAAAGATACATTTTTAAGTTCGTTATTAATTGTGGTTATAGTGTATGGTTATTTTCATTGGAATAGAATATATTGGTATCATCTGCAAACAAAATAAAATGTAGTAATTTTGAAATATTTGGGAGATCATTAACATAAATTAAAAAAAGCAGAGGACCTAAAATAGAACCCTGTGGTACTCCACAGGTTATATAGGTAATAAGTTAGAATCAAATGAATTAATAGAGGTAAATTGTTGTCTATCTGTAAAATAATCTCTTATTAGTTGTAATGGAAGGCATCTGACACCATAATTAGATAATTTTGAGAGTAAAATATCATGATCTATGGTGTCAAAGGCCTTAGATAAATCCAAGAAAATACCGATTGTGTGATGTTTTTTTGCAAGTAAAGACGTTAATTTTCCATACATGTGGAACACCGCAAGATCTGTACCATGTGCTTTCCTGAATCCGTATTGATTTGTGTGTAAAATTTGATACTTAGAAAAAAATGCTAATAATCTGTTATAAATTAATTTTTTCGAGAATTTTTGAAAAACAAAGGAGTAGTGCTATAGGTCTATAATTGGTGAATTGGTGGTTCTCGTTATTTTTGAAAATAAGTATAATTTTTGCAAATTTGAGAGAATTTGGAAACTTACCAGACTGAAATGAAATGTTGAAAATGTGACACAATGGTTTACATATAAATGGAGAAACTTTTTAAATAAAATCTGGATGAATATCATCGGCGCCTGGACTTTTGTTAAATTTGAATAAGTCTGTAATGTCAATAATGTCTTCAGTTATAAATGCAATGATCTGTTCAAAGCATGAGCTCCTGCATACCAAACCCAGTACCGTTTTGATTTTAAAAATGCAGGAAATTTACTCTTCTTCAATAATTTTTTTTTACTAATGTTAACAAGCTTTGCATTAGACAGTTAAAATTACATCACTATCTTTATTGATCATGAAAATTATACAATCTATGCAAATTGGTATCATAATTATATAAATATTCATGAAAATTACCTTCCACCACTTCCCATGCATCATCATCCACAGCTTCTCCACTTGTCCTCAACTGGAAGAGGCTGAACTCCTCTCGGCTCAAAAGTCCATTACAATCCAAATCGATCAGTTCAAATACATCAGTTAATGCATCCCTACAAAAAATTGGAACACAAATTTAAGAAAGTTTACAGCAGAGGTTCCTAAATTGATGCAGAAAATATATTAATTTATTTATGAGTAGGGTTTCTGTATTCTAACCAGAACCATGTTTACCTTCGGTTACTACTCTAGCTGAGCAAACTGCAGGCCAGACTATTTACACAAAACCCTTGTCATCTCAACATATTTCACAAATATTGACTGCTCCAGGTTTGGGGAATGGTGAAATCTACAGTATAGCCCCCATCGGTGATGTGGAGACTGTAGTCTATCTTGGACCAAGGAAAGATAGGCTACGGTCTCCACATCACCGAGGGGGCGATACTATAGATTCACCGTTCTCCGAATCTAGAGCAGTCAATATTTGTTTTATATACCTCATACAGGAGACCTAAAAAAGTAATGAAAAGAGTATGCACCAAGTAGGCCTACAGTAGGCTTACTTCTTAGGGCCAGGCGATCATAAGGCCAATCGCTCTCAGCTCAGTGTTGTAGAAGCCGCGTCCCCTTTACCATCTTTACGTGTCATAATTCAGGGCCGTAGCCACCGTTACGGTTGGTCAGGTTTCAACCTGACCACTTTTTGACCAACCACAAGTTAATTGATTAGGTTTTGAATAGGGAAAAAAGGCTACATTCCACCTGTATGTTTAGAACAACAAGTCTGTCAACTCAAGCGTGAATGGTTAATGATAGTTTGCATCATTTTCTCCTCTTTAGTCTAAGACTTATAATGATTGATTAAGAGACTAGGATGCATTTTCTCTTCAGTTGAAATTCAGTGTCTAAGTAGGCTTAGCTTTTATCCAAATCAAATAGGTCAATTACTACACACAGTGAGCCTTTGCAGAAAATCAGACTAAAGGTTCCCTTATACACTTGCCTTGGACTTAGGAATATATTCATTTCTGCACTAAATTAACTAGTCAACTGACAAGAAAAAAAAACATGCCTTTATCTGTAAATTTATTCCTGATAGTTCTAGTATGCAACATTATTTTCTATAAATGAATATACTGTAAATATACCTTTTTTTAGCACTTTACGTAAATTAGACTAGAAAAAAAATCTGAAAAAAATGAGTTAGGGGGAGTGGAATGTTAGAAGCAATCCACATAGCCAGATATCCTAATTTATCCCTTTTGGTCACCCTAAGCCCTGTTGACACTTGATTTTACGCCTTCTATACAAATGGCGGCCATTTTGAAAAATGGCTGCCAAATTTATATAAAATGTGCATAAAATTGGAACTAAATAAGCTACAGATATGATTTTGGTGTCTAAACTCATAATTTCTAGACATATATAAACTACTGTCTCTCAAGCCAGAATGGAACATAATTTAAAAATAGGTGTTATTTGTTTTAAAATAATCGCAAAATATACTTAAAATGTACATAAAATAGGAACGAGTATAAGCTACTAGTACAGTTTTCAATGTAATCCAGATTTTTGTGCAAAAATAGATTTTATTGACTAATTTTATCATTTTTACTGCGCTGAATTCAAACAAGTTACTGTAGGTGCCATTTCTGTCCCAACGTCATCGGCTGCCATTTTGAATTTCAAGATGGCTGACGCACCACATAAAACATGGTCATGATTGGTGTCAATGGAAAGGGAATTATACACTGATCATTTATTGTCATTACACCTAAACAACATAATAGGCATACATATTTACAGCAAAATAGACCAATATTATAAAGTCACATGACACAAAAGGTCAAAGGGTAAAAAAATCAAACTTACCAAAAGTTGTTGTGTTTGGTATCATTTAACAGCTCTGCCAATGATGAGTTATGTTTTCCGGTATATATATGTCAGAAACTGTGTAATTTTTCATATAATGTCCTGTAAATCTAATTATGGCATACTGTATAAAAAAATAAACAGGACCCAGTTGCCTAATGTTCGTGAGCTCTCGGGGTGGAGGGGGTTGGGTTCTCTTAATTCTAACTAAACGGTAACTTTTCTATAATTTGAAAAAAAAAAAAAAAAAAAAAAAAAAAAAAAAAAAAAAAACCCCCCCCCCCAAAAAAAAAGTCAGTCCAACTACGACCCATCATTTTACTATGGAGGTTTGACCAGATATGTACATCTGTGTGCTTTCTGGGGAAATGCTTAGTTCCTCCGAGTCCAAATGAACCCCGGGTAGGCCAGGGGCCCCACTCTTACTTCATGGTGGTCAAGGCAAATACACTATGTTGTGTTTTCCTATTTATTGATGATTCTATATACAGTAAATACTTGTACGCCATTAATTATGTCAAATAAACAAGTAAATACTTGTAACTATGAACAAAGGTACCGTTATGTTACATGCTGTATAATATATTTGATTGGCTGATTGATTTGTTATAACATTATTACGCATGGTCTTCCCAGTGGTGCAACGACGAGTCGTGGGTCCCGGGCCGAAACAATGTTAGGAGCACCATGCATATCAGTAAAATATTTTTGCTCACGAAGTGACACCGGGGTGGGTAATCCCCCTAGAGATTAATGTTAAGGATGAAAAGACTTTAATTATTAGACAATGCCAAAAAATGTTGTGTGAATAATATTTTGCACACACATTTTTAATTTGAATATTTGCGTGCAACATAGGTCTATGCATATGCACATGCATTTTCTTAGCTTTGCCAATACAAATAAGTATTATCAAAGAATCATTCAATCAATCGTTTCAGGGCTGGTCCAGGAGACACGGGTCTATCCCAACCCCCACAAATAAAGAAGAAAGAGAAAAGAAAGACCAGAAAGTAGGGAGCATGACATCACTGTAGGGCTACTCCAAAACAAGCTATTTTTTTTAAATGTCTGTGGTCTCCACCATTTCTAAACAAAATTCTTTCTCTATGTCTGTCCCTTATGTGTTAATGGATATATTCGGTGTAAACACCAAGGAAAACCCACAAAAGTCGGAAGAATATTTGTTTCCAGTGAGGTCCTTCTGGTGGTGATTGGGCACCACACCGACAGTGGCCTAACGATGGGCCCGGGGCCCTGTGGCTTTCTGAGACTGGGGGGCCCCTTTTTGATCCGGTTACTACTTTGATTGTGGGTATTTAAATGTGTTCGTTTTTTTAATATTTGGCATTGTATTCTAGATTGCTTTTAACAACGAAATAAATTATATGATAGGCCTATCAGTTGCAGATCAAGGTGTTCAAAATAGAGGGAATGTGGGTAGGGAGGGACTTTCACACACCTATGCCACCTCAGCCCCAGCATGGTTGGGGCTAAGGTAAGATCATTTATGAATACGGCA